GCATTGCTGATTCCAACCCGTTGCATCTACCAGTAACACTGGGAAGTTGGCAGAAACATCCGTGCTCCTAACTATATCTAGCTAATTATGTAGAGTGAGATATTCGTTGCTGGCTTCTGCAAGGATATTATATGCAAATCCAGATCTTATTTTAGAGTCTGACATTGATTCTGGATTATCATCCAGTAATTTTATTTCTGCACCATTTTATGAATATATCTTGAAAAGGGATTACTACTCTCCCTCAAAAATACATTAAGTAGAAGAAACGTTTTAGGCCTTGTGATTTTGTTCTTAAAAATGATCTGAATATTGCAAGCTGTAAAATGCAAGTCTGTAGTTAAGTTTGTATGTTCAAAGCGTGTCCATAACCAGTGAACAAAGACCAGAGCTTAACTTTTGGAGCCAATGTGCTAAAAAATCATGGTCTCTGTTCCATCCAACAATTCTTTGCTGTGATGTGACTGTGGGAAGCACTCTTAGATGCTTTGTCCACCCTTGGGACATGAGGTGGTGCCGCCAGCAGAGTCATGACTGTGTCTGTAAACCTGCCTTCGACTGAAGGCTGGCTTTTGCCTCCATTCAATTTCTCTTCCTCCTCCCCTTAATAAATATTATGGCCCTTGGAAGAAATAACTATCATCCTGCTGTGCGTCAGTTGGTCTGCCTGATTTCCTAACAGATGCTTTTAACATGAGGAAAAAACAAAAAAAAATCATGTTTTAAGAAAATGGAGCTGAAGTGTGATACAAAAGTTGGAAGATTCTCGTGGGATCGAACCCAGGTTGTTCCTTGCAGGCTGCACTAGAAGGGCCCTTGCTGTGTCGCAGCTGGAGGAGAAGGTGGAATGCGAGGGAAAATTCATACCCGAAGGCTTGATTGGAGGGCTCCTGTGTTACTTCCAATGGTAGCAAGTGTCAAAGTATATTTATGGCAACGTGTGTGAGGTACCCATGTCACTGAGACACTGGGGAGCATTTGACGTGTGTGACCAGCAGTCACTTGGGAGCTCACGGACCTTGCTGCTTTTAGAGTGTTGGGCAACCTATGGGCAAATGCCCATGCAGAGCTGGTGTGACAGTGTGGGGAAAATGTGCAAGAGATGCTGCTCACGATAGAAAACATGTAGGGATGCTTGCTACGTGGGTGGCTGCTTCAGAGGAGTTTTCCAGTTTGCAAAACAGGGGCTTGGGAAGTGTGACGTGTGGGAGCAATGAATGTTTTGTGGGCTCTGGAGGACCAGACAGCGGTTTTGTGGTCGCATGCGGTGGGGGAGAGTTGGTCGCGGTGACCGGGGGGGCTCTCCCTGCCCTGCAAAAGTTGCAGGCTGAGTCGCGTAGCTCTTACTTCCCTCTTGTAATGAGTCTTAAAAATTAGCTTGAAGTTTTCACTCTTTGTATGTACTGTGCTTGCATGTGAATTTGCTTTGCTTACACACGTAAGGATCTTGGCCAATTTGTCCCGTTAAAGTGATTGTGGTGTAGTCAGTCTGGATGATCCCGCCTTTGCTTCTGAGCTAGGGAAATTGTCAGGCTTTGTTCTATTTCAGAATACGCTTTAATGAGATCAGGGGTGGATCAGATGTAGTGTGTAGGCACCTGAGTGTATTAAGTGTATATCAAAATAAAAGCAAGTGAGAAATACTCCAATTTTTTGTGAACGTTCAGACTGAGAATTTTAAAGGAATTAAATGTTGCAGGCACTTGAATCCCTGGTTAGGAAAGAGAATGAGATAAGCAACTGTATTGAGAAGAAAAGTGTGATAGCTTTCTCATTCTGCCTTTTATTTTTAGGTAAGGGCGTCACAAGCGGGAAGGAGCTACTACAGCTTGTTCTCTCTTGAAAGTGAAGAAGCTGCAGAATGTGTATGTACGTGGTCAAACGCGGAAAGGAAAGAAAAAAGTGTGCACGTTTAAGATGCACTGAACATCACTATCAGTACCTTGCCCTTATTTTTTAAAACAGGTCTTGTGTGTCTTAAGGTATCTAATAGAAATTTATCGTCTTTGACAGCATGCTGTGAAAATCAGAGGCACTGATGCCCTTATGAGCAGCTGTATTTCAGTCACTAGGGTTGTAAGATAGTGACAACACTATTCTAGTGTTACCTGTAAAATATATTTTAAACATAGGCATGAACATCTGATGGGAATGGTTTAAAATGATTTTAGATGTTGAAACATGCTGTTTTAGTGCTTTTAATGATAAAACTCGTAGTGGGTTAATCTTCCAAGATTTGGGACTTAGTCTGAGCAGATGAATGTTGCTTTTCCATCAGTGATTTTGCTCCATGTAAACTCAAATTAGGTTCAAAGATGGGAGAACGAGATCTCTAGACTTCAACTCCTCTTTCACGTGCGTCTGTAAAAGATATTTGCATAAGCTTCATCAAATTGTGTTTTTCTTTTAATGTTACTCTTGATGGCCCAGGCTTTTCAATGTGGCCAACTTCAGAAACGTAGCTGAGTGGAAAACTGTATTACCTGCCTTACCTAATCTGTATGCCAGGGTTCCCAGTTTGGCTTCTCCGTCCTCCTGACTGACTAAACTTGAGTGTTTGAACTGGACGGTGTTGATACCATCCTCTCCTTTGAACAACAAACAAGATTTTATTATTATTATTATTAAGATTTGAGAGAAGCTTCTGAACTTTCCTTGTTTCATGGATTTACAGAAGCATGGCTAAGAGAAGATGAATTCAGAATACACTCTTAAACATGCGTCGGGCCAGGATTTTTAATTTACTTCCTTGTTAATCTTGAGTTTATGGAGATTAGTGGATCACAGTGCATATTTGTTGTGTTTGCTTCTGGGTGCAGTATACTTTTCAGACCATGTGGGAATGAATCAAGAAGTGAGGAGTGTGAGCAGGAGTGCATAATCTAAATTTCTGAGATTTTTTTTTTCTCGCTATCCTCTTTGTTCATGGGAGATATTTCCGTTTAAGTACATGTTCGTTTTATTGTTATTTTTTCGTTCAGTTACAGAAAAAAGTTCTGAACAACTAGAAAAAGTACCTTCGGGAACAGGCATTTATTCCCCTGGCTTAGGCCTTGTAGCAGCCGGTCTGTTTTTCTGTTCCTGTTCTAATCCTGTTTTGGATCTGAATGTTGTTTTTCTGACTGGCTGTATCAAAACTTGACTCTGAAGTGACTTCATTTATACAAAATCTGAATTCAGATTTTGTGGGTTGGGTTTGGTATATATATTTATTTATTGGCAGCATATCTGTTCATCATACCTGCAAAGTTCTGGTTTACTTCAAAGCTGTTCCTTTGAAATATATATATATATATATGTATAAAAGCATGCTAAGGAGATGGCCATTGATGCTTTTTTTTTGGTGTCAGAATGAAAGGTCATGGCGAAGTGAACCACTTACCTTTAGTGAGCAAACATTTGCGACTCGAAATGTTTAGGTGTTTCAGACAGAGGCATCTTCATTCCCACTCCGGGAAGTCGGTCTCTGCGAGAACCCTCTCCCTCTGCAATTTTCATGTGTAAGATTAAAAATGAGGAAATCTCCCAAGGCACAGGTTGTTACGATGATACGGAGTTCACTGGAAACATAAGAGTCTTTGTTTCAGTTGCTTGTGATCTGCTAGTGATACTAAAAATGAAATCCTTTAGAAAAAATGCTTCTTCCCTTTTATATGTGTATTTTTTCTAGTAGCAGGTGCTGTTGTGCTTTTATAGGGAATAGTGGTAGTCTGCAGGCCTTTCTCCTCTTTGCCTTCGAAATTAATCCTCTAAATGTTGCAGACACCATCAGGTTTACTACAGTTCAGCTGTATTCAGGGAGAATGTGGTTCAAGTGGTTAAATGTGATCTGAAGGGGGATCAATTAAGAGAGTTTTGCCTAAAGGTTTCTAGGAAATCCCAAGTCACATGGAAATGAAGAGGTTAGATTTTCAGCAGCAACCTAGAAGCAAAACCAGTTTGGCACCTGACGTCCAAATCTGCACCCCACAGGCACCTGTGGGGCTTTGCTGCTAACAGAGCACCTAGCCCGTTTGTCACCACAGTTGATAATGTGGCAAGCGGAGACCCGGGGGAGTAGATGTGCAACCCGGAGTCCTTGTCAGTTTAACTTAGGCTGGACATGCCTTTCTGTGCTTGCCTTGTCATGTTGTTTCTGCTCTTTAGCTTCTGCTTTTTAGTGGCTTTTTACGTGTAGATGCACACTAGCAATTTTCCACTTTCTGAAGCTTCCTGAATTTAGTTTCATCCCAAGAGAGAATACATGTGAATATACCAGCAGCCTGTGGAGAGCTGACAAAAACACAGAAGTTTTCACCTTTACATCGCTGCTTCTTGCACCGTAGGACTCAGTACTGCTGGAAGTCGTCAGCTTTGGCAGCTCAGAGGGGTGTCTGTGTAGTCAGTTCTGGGTCTGACTCCTTCTGAGCACTTGGTTTTAGGCAGGGCAGTAGAAATACACCTGTAGGGAGAAGTGACTCTTGCTTTAGACGTGGTGCCACCCAGGACATGTTTGGTTAGTCTGGGAAAACTTGCCTGGTTTTCCCCCGCCCAGAAAGTGGAAGACTTTTATCTTTGATTTCATAATCTGGCACTTTGCACAGGAATAAAATTGTTCCAAGAACATACTAGCCAGAGTAAATATTTACAGAGGCAGTGAAAAATGTTTTTGTACTGCAAATCTAGTGTCAGAATGGGCAGGGGAAGTTAAACCCGTTTACGGCAGATATTTAGTTATTTTTTTAAGTCCTCAGAGAGCAAAATGTGCCGTTGTCCTGGGGTGAAAGCAGTGGTGGGGTTGTCACGGTACCCTCTGATCCTGTTTACACCTGCTCATGTGATGACTGCCCAATTAAGCACTGTAGAGATATTTGCTGTTCCTGTTTCAGACGCCATTTAGAGTTGTTTGTTTTCCTCTGTGTGCCATCAGAAGCACAGCTCGATGGCTGCATGTTACGGGCACTGTGGGCTAAGCGCTGTCTTCTTGCTTTGCAGGCCGCCGGCTGCTTCCCGTGGCGATCATGAAACGGCGCCGGCTCCCCAGCAGCAGCGAGGACTCCGACGACAATGGCAGTAAGTGCTGCTCTCTTGCAGGGCGCGCGAGGCTGCGCCTGTGAAGCACCTTTCCCTGCACTGGGATGCGCAACGGGCGTCTTGCCTAGTGGCTGGGCCCTTTGAAATCTGTGTTGGAAGGAACCACTTTTGAGCTCCCTTGCTCAGAGGGCAGGTAGATTCGGGGTCCTCCAGGGTTTACCGTTCACTGAGCAGTGTGGTTATCGTTAATACGATAAAACAAGAAAAAAAAAAGTCTCTTTTTCCTCTTTTAAAACTCCTGTTGTAAGCAGCATCATTTATCCTTACAAGGACCAAATCCATGTTGGATACATGGTAACGCTGTCCACAGCTCAATATTTAATAGAAGTTTGCATTAGGATTTCAGATTTGCTTCAGTGTTCTCATTCTCTCTAGTGCGATGGAAAGGTGTGTTGCTTTAAACTTAATAAGGAAAGATTGGCAGTGCTTAAAAGTTGCTCCTTTTGTTTGACAGTTATCTCAGTCAAGGAATAACATTCAACAGTTTGCTGTGATTAAGGAATTTGAATAGATACTTATTTCTCCATTTGAACTATCTCTTTCTTTGACATAACTGACACTGAGCTGTGTAAAATGTACTTCTTGTGCTTGGATTCCAGGGAAATGATAGTCTTTCATGTGAAAAAGGGAGAAAAAAAAAAAAAAGGCAGCGTGGGAAATGTGCCAAGGTGTTTTATTTGCTCAAACAGGCAAGCTGATTGTACATGACAACAGTGCCACTTGGCCAGTTGTCAGAGACATTCTCTTGTTTTTAATCTGATCTATGTGCATGCACATCTCCTGGGACCAAAGTTGTTGCATAAGTTTAAAATATGGTATTTGGCAAAATCTGCAATTTTGTTGTTGTTGCTTTTTTGATAGCTCAGTCAGGAACATAGTAGAAAATGATGAGGGAGATTTTTCCAGGCGCTTTGGAAGGCTTTGCTCTTGGGTACGTGGCTGCTGTGCTGCGCTGCAGCCCTGTGAGGGCTTCACCTGAGAACTACATTGCTTGTGATGCCAAAGTGCATCCTGGCTGTGCGGGAGCCTGCTCGGGTAGCTCGAATGGACACGCTCCCTGGGGAAGCTGCTGCTGCTGCTGAGAGGCCAGTGTGGTGAAGGGGCTGGAGCAGGTGAGAGCTAGTGAGTTGATTAGGAGCTCAGCCGAGTGCAAGGACTGAGCAAAGGCTACTAAGGATGTGTGGGATTTCGCTTGTGCTTGGAGAAATACCTGCAGCCAGGAGATTTGAAAGAAAACCCTGAAATGTAACCCATTTTTCCAGGTTAGGCTATTTGTTTGGGTTACCAAAATTGAAATTGGTGTATTTCTCCAAAAGTGAAGTGTACTGTGCTTTGTTTCTTCCGCAGAAGAGATCAAAATGTGTGTGTCTACTTGAAAAATATGCAAGTAGCAGCAAATGCAATGTCTTTCATTTGAATTTTGCTTCACTGTTTTTTTTCACTCTCTTTTGTATAGCTTTATATAGCTTATAATTTAAAGCAAGGAAATAATTACTTATTGGTAACCATTATGTTTATAACAAATTGATTAACAAATCTGAATAAGTAGCTATTGGATAAATTAGATAGCAAAAACCCAATTAAATTTTAAAGTATTATTTGCAATATACATTACTTGCCTTTCAATTACACATTTTTCCCCCCCTCGGCTTAATTCCCCTTTTTCCCTTTTTTTATGAAATTACGGGGCAAACTCAGATACAGGTCCCTGCGTATTCCTTACTTTACTGCACAAGTACCCCCAAAGTTTGAGGGTTATTAATGCGAGGGTGCAATGTTAGCGTCTCCAAGGCGCTTTCTCATTCACGCCTCCGTGAGAGCAGTGTGTGATGTTCAGGCCCTGTTCTTCCACTCGCCTCACGTTAGCCTTTTTTCCACAACGTGCCAGTAGTTCTTTATAGCTATATTTGAACGCCAAGATTCTCCCTCTATGGGTTTCATCTTCCCTTAATCTTCTCTTGTCTTTGAAATTACTGGTTACTCTCCCTCTGTTAATTTCTGTATGGAGATCCGTAATTATTCTATCAATAGTGTCTCATTCACTGTGCGTGATACTAGTGTAATGCAAGGGAACCAAAGTCTTTTGCCTGGGGAAAAAATATATATATATATATTTCTGTGAATTTCTGGCCTCGCTGTTGAAGTGTTTAAGCTTTCCACCAGCTATTTTTCCCTCTCAGAGATTCCTGGAGGCAGAAGACAATTAAATAGACTATTTTGAGCACTTCAAACAGCTGCCTTCTAATTGAAAAGCTGAAATTTAATCAGCACTTGGTTGAAATCCTGTGGCCTACCATGTGCCTCCCCTCAGCGAGGCCCAGCACGGAGACGGCCCGTGTGCTGCCCGGTGCCCCGTGCGCTGCCCGGTGCAAACTTGGTGCCCCCCAAAATGTTACCCTTGTTCCTGCAACTTGACTACTGCAGGTTGGTCAGTTACGTCACCGTAAAATCAGACATCCTGGGCAGCGTGCTCAGGGTGACCCTGCTTGTGCAGGGAGGATTGGACTAGATGATCTCCAGAGGTCCCTTCCAACCTCAACCATTCTGTGATTCTGTGATCTCAGTCTAGGTCTGATCCTTAGATCATCCGGCATGAGGCCAAAATAGCAGTGAGCAAGAGATGCCGATGGAAGTGGTGCACAGCAGTACTGCCGTCATTCCCTAGATAGCACAGTATTTTCTGGTAGATTTCAGTTTGTGAAATTGTAGGTCACTTTTGAACATTTTCTCCATAAAATATAATTGAGTGAAAAATGGCTGCAGGCGTAGTTCTGAATTGTGAACCTCCTTGTAAATACAGAGAGATGGTATTGGAAAAGGCTTGGGAAGGCAGTAGGATTATTGGCACCTCAAAGTAATCTTTTTTTGTTGTTGTCTGGCAGCTTGTTCGTTCCTCTCCCTCTACAGATAATGTATTACAGCAGCTATCATAGACATTAATATTAGCTAGGCCCTTTATAAAAAGCCTTGTGATGTATGTGACATCTTCTTCAAAACTTGTTTTTAGTAAATTCATAATCTTTACCTCCAGCTCAGTTACATCCTTGCGTGGCTGGTGCATGGCTTGCATGGCTGGCCAGCGCTTTTAGAGCCATTCTTGTTACGTTGCATTTCAGCTTGCTTCTCCATGGCAGAGCTCCTTCTCTCTGTGGTGCCAGGTCTCATGCTCATTAAGCATTAGTTTTGAAGCCTTTTTATCTTTTCTGTTTCGTGTTTTTGGCTTTGTTGGTCTGCAGATCTGCAAAGGTGGTCTGTGGTGAATGTCCCTTTTCCTCTGTTCCGTGGTCAGTTGTGCAGCAGTTTCCCTTGGCAGCTTTGGAGTGTCCGTTTTGTGCAGAATTGCTTGGACGCTTGGAGAGATCGTGTTTGAGACAAGGCTTGAGCCTCAGGCAGGTGTGTTGTGGGGAGCTTGGCTGAAATCCAGACCCCCTTGGATGTCAATGACAGTTTGAGCCCTGTTTTCAATGAGCAAGGAATTTGGAGCGTGATTTTTTCACACGTACTTGCTCCCACAGAGCCTCTTCCTTTATTTGTGGAGGATTTGCCAATTCATCATATTCTTCCATCCAGAGTGTCTGAAAGAAGAGCTGGAGACATAGATGAAAAATACTTCCAGGTTTTACAAGGTTTCCCATCACTTCAGAGAAATGAAATATTTAATACATAGGGACTATGGAGTATAGCTCTGCAATTTACATGGACTCTTATTCTACCATTGTTAAACAAATGTTGTTTTAAAGGTAAACATCTTTTGGCAATACCCGTTGCGTTGACTGAATGACATAGATTTATGAAGTGCTTTTCATCCCAGTGGGTTCCCAGTGTTTGAGATGCATCTCAAGAGCGCTTAGCAGAGGTTGCTGAGTTCATCAAGCGAGGTATGGACGTCATTTACAGCGGGCTTGCAGCCGTCGCTGGCCCGAAATGAGACAGTTACTTAGCAGAGCATGGAACCCTGTGTGGCCTTTTGTGAAAAGGAAGTGAAGAGCATTTTCTTTATGTTTTTTTCCCCCTCAATTGAAGTGACTGGTAGATGAAGGATGGTTTTTCTACAGCTGAATGTAATGTAATTACAGTGCTGGAGTTTGGACAGAGCAGCAGGTTTAGCAGTCGCTGCCGCGCTCCTGAAGGAGAATGACGGGATCTGAAGCGATGACAAATGGTCAGCGCTTGGATCCTACCCGAAGGTTAGGTTCACTGGGGCAGGGAATGAGCTTTCAGGGAAGCATCTGTTACGCTTCTGAGCGTGCTGAGAGACTAGTTTGAAAGACATATCTGGGCTGCCAGGGTATTGTGTTGGTGGAAGAAACATGACATAATCATCACCTTTTTGCAGAGGCCCATATTTCTTTCCAAGACTCCCTCTATCAAGAAGAGCTCACTCCACCCAAGTTGCGAGGCCTGGCAGCCTCGCGTGGCGTCAGCCTGGGAAGCTGCCTTGGGAGATGCTCACATGAACTTGAGCCTGTCCCGAAGCCTGCGCGAAGCCCAGGGTGCTGTTTGGCTAGAGCTGAGCTGCAAGGGGGAGCGGTGGGCTGGGGCCGGAGCGACGCTTGCGACTGGCCGTGCCGAGTAAGACGGGTCTGGGAGTCTCTGCCCGCTGGCGGCGTGCTGTGCACCCGGCAGTGCTGTGCACCCGGCAGTGCTGTGGCACCCGGCAGCGCGTGCTGTG